GTCTGGGCGACAGAGTGAGACTCCAACTCAAAAAAAAAAAAAAAAAGAATACACATTGATGAAAGTAAAATGACCAGACGCGGTGACTCACGCCAATAATCCTAGCACTTTGGGAGCCCAAGGTGAGAGACCAGCCTGGGCAACTTGGTGAGATCTTGTCTACAGTGCATCAAGAAATTAGCTGGGTGTGGTAGCACGCACCTGTAGTTCCGGCTACTTGGAAGGCTGAGACAGAAGGCTCGCCAGAGCCCGTCAGGTCGAGGTTGCGGTTTCCATGAGCATGGTACTGCACTCTAGCCTGGGTGACAGAGTGAGACTCTGACTCAAAAAAAAAAAAAAAGATGTAGCTAATTTATATTGGCAGAAACCTCAGTAATATGGGTGGGAACCAATTTTGTGAATGATAGATCAGGGAGAAAGGACTGTAATTTTATATTATTCAAAACTTTTTTTTATTGTGGTAAAATATATATAGCATAAAACTTCCCATTTAAACCATTTTTGTGTATAATTAGGTGTCATTAGTTACATTCACAATGTTGTACAGCCATCACCACTACAGTATCTAGTTCTAAAATTTTTCATCACCCCTCAAAAAAACTGTACCCATTAAGGGATTATTCCCTATTCTCCCCTGCCCCCGGTAAACTCTAATCTACTTTATGTCTCTATGAATTTGCCTAGTCTAGATAATTTCATTTGAGTGGAATCATACATTTGTCCTTTTCTGTCTGAATTATTTCACTTAGAATAATGTTTTCAAGGTTCATTTGTGTGGCATGTGTCCAACTTCATTCCTTTTTCTAGTTGAATAATATTCTATTATTTGTAGATACCACGTTTTGTGTATACATTTATCTGTTTGTGGATACTTGGATTGTTTTCACCTTTCGACTATTGTGAATAATGCTGCAATGAACATTGGTAGACAAGCATCTGTTTGACTCCTTGTTTTCAATTCTTCTGGGTATATTCCTAGGAGTAGAATTGCTGGGTCATATGGTAATTCGTTATTTAGCTTTTTGAGGAACTGCCAAACTGTTTTACACAGTGGCTGTCCCATTTTATATTCCCATCAGCAGTGTGCTAGGGTTCCAATTTCTCCACGTTATCTCCAGTACTTATTACTTTGTTTATTATTATTATTATTATTGCCATACTAGTGGGTATGAAAGTAGTACCTCATTGTGGCTTTGATTTGCCCTCCCTAATAACTAATGATGTTGAGCATCTTTTCATACGCTTCTTGGCCATTTTTATGTCTTATTTGGAGAAATATCTATTCAAGTCCTTTGCCAATTTTTTAAGTTGGGTTGCTTGTCTTTTCATTGTTGAATTGTAGGAGTTCACTATATATTCTGGATAGTAAATTCTTATCAGATAGACAATTTGCAAATATGTTCTCCTTTCTGTAGGTTGTCTTTTCTTTCTATATAATGTCCTTTGCACCCAAAAAAAATTAACTTTGGTGAAGTCTAGTTTATCTGTTTGTTTCTTTTCTTTCATTGCTCATGCTTGGGGTATCATATTTAAGAATCCCAGCCTTGGCGAGCGGGAAGATGGCGGAGCCGGTGGCCAAGTCGGTGCTGTTTGTGTGTCTAGGTAACATTTGTCGGTCACTCATTGCAGAGGTAGTTTTCAAGAAACTTGTAACTGACCAAAACAGTTCAGAGAATTGGGTCATTGACAGCAGCGCTGTTTCTGAGTGGAACGTGGGCCGATCCCCAGACCCAAGAGCTGTGAGCTGCCTAAGAAATCATGGCATTCACACAGCCCATAAAGCAAGACAGATTACCAAAGACTTCGCCACATTTGATTACATACTATGTATGGATGAAAGCAATCTGAGAGATTTGAATAGAAAAAGTAATCAAGTTAAAAACTGCAAAGCTAAAATTGAACTACTTGGGAGCTATGATCCACAAAAACAACTTATTGAAGATCCCTATTATGGGAATGACTCTGACTTTGAGAGTGTACCAGCAATGTGTCAGGTGCTGCAGAGCATTCTTGGAGAAGGCCCACTAAGGCTGACCATGCCCTGATGTGGCCATCCTCTAGACCACACCAACGCCCTGCATTTCTCAGTCAGCGTGCTAAAATGTAATAATTTTCCACAGTCCAAGGCCCCAGCTCTTTCTTCAGCTCACTTACTGTTTCTTACCTTAAAAAATAATGGTAGATGGAGATCTGTTGTGTTTGGCAGAAGAATAAATAAAAATCTTTGAGACAGTTAAAAAAAAAAAAAAGAATCCCTTGCCAAATCCAAGGTCATGAAGATTAACCCCTATGTTTTCCTCTAAGAGTTTTATGGTTTCAGTGCTTAAATCCAGGTCATTGATCCATTTTGAGTTAATGGTATATTGTGTGAGATGGGGATCCGACGTCATTCTTTTGTGTGTGGAAGTCCAGTTGTCCTACAACCATTTGTTGAGGAGACTAATCTCTCCCCATTTGAATAGACGTGGCATCCTTATCAAAAATCAGTTGACCATCTGATTTCATTCTTTTTTCCCCCAAGGTTGTTTTGGCTATTCAGAGTCCCTTGTAATTCCATATGAATTTGAGGACCAGCGTTTCCATATCTTTAAAAAGGCTTTTGGAATTTTCATAGGGACTGTATTGAATTTGTACATTCTTTTGGCTAATATTAACACCTTAACAATATTATGTCTTCTAACCCGTGAACATGGGATATCTATTTCTTTAAATCTTCTTTCATTTCTTTTAGCAATGTTTTATCATTTTCAACGTACAAGTCGTTCTCCTCCTTGATTAAATTTAATCCTAGGTATTTTATCCTTTTAGATGCCATTGCAAATGGAATTGCTTTCTTAATTTCTTTTTGGGGCTGGGCCCAGTGGCTCAGCCTGTAATCCCAGCACTTTGGGAGGCCGAGGTAAGAGGATTGCTTGAGCCCACGAGTTCGAAACCAGCTTGGGCAACTTGGCAAGACCTCATCTCTACAATAAATCAAAAAATTAGCCAGGCATGATGGTGCATGCCTGTAGTTTCAGTTACTTGTAAGGCTGAGGCGGAAGGATCGCCTGAGCCTGACAGGTTGAGGCTGTGGTGGCTGTGAGCGTGCTGCTGCATGCCAACCTGGGCGACAGAGTGAGACTCCAACTCAAAAAAATAAAATTATTTTTGGATTGTTCATTGCTATTGTATTTTTTTTTAAACATAACTGATTTTTATGTGATCTTGCACCCTGCAACTTTGCTGAATTTATTAGCTGTCTTTTCTGCATCTGAAATGACTTTTCTGCATCATATGAAATATGGCTTTTTTCCTTTGTTCTATTAATGTGATGTACTACCTTGACTGATTTTATTTTAAACCACTCTTGAATTCCTAAGATAAATCCCACTTGATCATGGTGTATAATATTTATAATATGCTGTTGGATTTAGTTGCTAGTATTTTGTTAGGGATTTTGCATATATAGTCATAAGGGTTACTGGTCTGTAATTTTCTTTTCTTGTGATATTTTTATCTGGCTTTGGTAGGGCCAAACATTCAATATGGGAACACTCATCACCAATCCTGATTGTACTTTGTTTTCTGAAGCAGCTAGGAGTATTTCTAAGAGTTGTTTTATTGATTGACCAAAACCTGGACTCAACAATAGCCAATGTTAAATGAGGTTAAGATGCCAGAAATTCCATGGTACAATGTAGACAGAAGAATCCACGTTTTGGGAAATAAGAATGTTGGAATAGATTAAACATATGTAACTCATTCAACTCACCCTTTAACTATGTGGACATTCACAAGGGATTTGAGAAAAACATTATGAAGGATGGTATAGACTAGCTAGGTGGTTGTTAAGCCTGTTTTCTCTTCCTCCTGAGGGCAAATTCAGACTACATTTTCCAATGCCCCTTGCAATTGGGTATGCCCATTGTCTGAGTTTTAACTAATGCAATGTGAGCAGAAGTGATGTGTGCTACGTCCAAGCCTAGCTCATTAAGAAACAAACAAACAAACTCCCACATGGTCTTTTCCTCTTCTGGTTGGCTGGAATGGAGATGACAATAGTCAATGATGATCATGTTTTCAAGATGGCAGACCCTCTAGATCCCTAAATCATCACTAAAAAGAGGGAAGCCCAGCTATTAACACCTGTTTTGGAATACCACAAGAGCAAGAGGTAGTACATTTGTATTGTCTTAAATCTCAGAATTTTTTTTCTGTCCCAGAAGCTAGCTTTATATTAACTAATACATGAATGAGCACCAGTATTATCACAAAGCATTGCAATGGTTTATTTCTGCAGGTCAGGGTCATGGTGAGAGATCATGAATTGGCTCCCTGATTTCAATGGAGATGACAAAATTGCCTCCAGAGACAAGTTGGGTCTGGTTCCTATAATAGACAGCAGAGCCATAGCAGTAATCAGAGTGGTATGACCTGTAGCTAATTAAGCATGGTTTCCCTAGAACCAAAATAGATGGACAGCCTAATTGAGTCCTACTTGTTATGTAACAAAACAAAACAAAATCTTCTATCCTGGCAAATGGAGGCCTGATATAGTCCCCCAAAATGGAGAGTCTCAGCCTCTTTTCCAGTTCACAGATGACATCCCCTTGAATGAAGGGGTGGGTCTATTTGAAAACGGACCTTGCTACACTTTTCACAAGTGTTTGGTGAAATCTCCCTCCCTGCTTTCCCCACAGAGACCTGCAGCCAGAGAGACTGTACACTGAAGACAGGGAAAGGACATTTCAGAAGGGCTGGATATTGGTTCTGAGTTCATGTTAATCCCTGGTGATCCAGATTGTCACTATGGTCTACCAGTCAGAGTGGGATCGCATCATACATGAAGTTTCAACCTGAGTCCTTCTTATATTGGGCCCAGGAGAAATCCTGTGATGATTTCTCCAGTTCCTGGTACATTGGAATACACACAATATAGATGGCATAAAGGGGAGGAGGACTACAGCTGAAGAACAAGTTAGTGAGTGGAAAGATCAGATTGAGGACCTCTTCTGGAAACCAACATGAAAGAAGAGATACACTTTTTTTAAGACTAATGAAATGGAGGATAAGATTGGAAGTTGCAGCAGCATGATAATAGAAGTCCCATAAGCAGAGAAAAATAAAAATGGAAAAGTGGATCTATTTTGTGAATGAATGCCTGAGCACAGGACTCAAAGTAACCTGTGCAAGCTGAACTGCCCATGGTGAACTGTGTTAACTGTCCCATCAAACCATGAAGTTGGATGGGTTTATAGAAGCAGGTCTAGAAGACACAAGTAAGCTGCCTGAGCAACTCCCATCTGCTGCACTGCCATCCCTTTCTTACCGACACCGGATGCCTCATGGGGAGTTCCTTATGACCAGATGACTACAGGATACATATTCAAGCTTGCTTTGAAGATGGTTCTACTTGATATGCTGGCACCTGCTGGAAGTAGCTAGCTGTAGTGTTACCTCCTCACTTAGGGTCGATCCTGAAGGACAGTGATAAGGGAAATTCTCCAAATACAAAAACTGCCTGGATGGTCAGAGGTTTAGATAGGTCTCCACTGATTCATGAGTAGTTGCTATGAGCTGGCTAAATGGTCAAGGACTTGGAAAGAATAGGATTGAAATATTGTTGACAAGGTCTGAGGAAGAGCATATGGATGTCCAAGGGAATGGGCACAGAGATATTCATGTCCCGCATAAATGAGCACCAGAGAGAATCCACTGTGGAGGAGGAGCTCAATCCGATAGACATCCTGTTCTGTGATGCCAGCCACCCTCCATCTTTGCACCCTTTCCCTTGCCCAACAGACTCCTGAACAAAATGGCCATGGTGGCAGGCATGAAGGTTATGCATGGGCTCTGCAATATGAACTTCCCCCAAGGACAGTCTGTCTGTAAGCCACTGCTGAGTGCCCAACCTACCAACAGAAGAGAAACACCAAGACCCTTTATGGTTCTATTTTTTGGTGGCAGCTGATTACAGAGACAGGACAAAATGAAAATAAGTCATTGGACCTCCAAAACTCTACTGACAGGAAGCAGACTGGGAAAACTGTTCAGCTGCAAACATGTGCTTTTATGAAAAAGGAAGGAAAGCACAGAGAGCAGAGCCCAAAGTGGTGGAGAATTATTTCAAGGCCTTGAAATCTAATCAATGAACTTTCATTTTCCCAGCTGGATTTCAGAATTGTTATAGACCAGTGACCCTTTTGTATCATCCATTTCCCCTTTTTTTGAACCGGAATGTTTTTAGTAGTTATCCTATTCCTGTTCTGTCATTGTATATTGGGTGTGTTGGGAACTGATAACTTGCCTTCTAAGTCTCACAAATTGACAGAGAAAAATAGTACTTAACAAGTCATATATAAGGAATACACTCAAGGAGCCTTGTTCACACATGGACCTGATTTAGATAATATTCTAGACTTTGAGATGATGCTATCATTGGAGAGACTTTTAGAAACCTTGGGAAGGGGTGAAGGTATTTTGCATGTGGAAGGGACATGAATCATCAGGGACCAGAAGACAAACTATAGTAGTCTCCAAGATGGCCCCCAATCATCCCTACCTCCTGGTATTCACACCCCTATGTAATCCCCTCCCCTTGAGTGTGGCCTAGACCTAGTGACTTACTTCCAATAAATAGAATTTTGTAAAAGTGACAGGATGTCACTGCTAAGATTAGGTTATAAAGTCTGAATTCTGTCTTGCATATGGGTACTGTCTCTCATTCTCTCTGTCTCTGGCTCATTTCACTTGATTGTTCTGATGAAGCAAGCTGCCATGTTGCGAGATGCTCTATGAAAAGGCCCACATGGCAAGGAACCCAAGAGTGCCCCCCAGCCAACAGCGTGCAAGAAACTGAAGTCCTTAAGCTAACAACCCGCAAGGAACTGAATCCTGCCAATAGCCACGTGAGTGAGCTTGAAAGCAGATCCTTCCCCAGTCGAGCCTTGAGATGACTGCAGCCCCAGATGACACCTTGATTGCAGCCTGTGAGAGACCCTGAAATAGAAACTCTGCTAAGTTGCGCCCAGATTCCTAACCCACAGATAAATGTTGCTCTTTTAGGCCACTAAGTTTTTGAGTTAATTTGTTACACAGTAATACATAACCAATACAGGCAAGCATGGAGGTTATGCACAGTCTCAGCAATATGAACTTCAAATCTGGTTATAGCACTGCTGAGCTCCCAACCTACAAACCAGTGATAACACTGAGCCCCCACTCTGAACTGTTTCCTGGTGGCAGGTTGATTACTTTGGACCCCTTCTGTCCAGCACAGGCCTTAGGTTCACAGAGACTTGGTAAATATCCTAGCTCTGACAGGCTGATATGCCTAGGCCAGGCCTGTTTTAGGGGTCTGTTTCCTGTGTGTCTGTCAGGGACTTTGTGAAATATCTTACATGGAGCTTGGCACCTAGGAGGAGGTTCACAAGGGGCTGCTCCCTTCCCTTTTCTGGATTGAGTGCCCCAGGGGCAGGCACCCTGTCTCTCTGCCTCCTAACCCCCCTTCAGAGCCCACTGCCCATGGACCTCAGACCCCAAGGCCTCACTCCCATGGAGCGGCATCCTTAACCAGTGAACTTAATGTAATGCAAAGGAACAGAGTTCACATGCACAGTGTGGGGTTCCAACTGCTCCTCCGGCTCCCTCCTTCTGAGCTCAGACTATGCAGGCCCCTGGCCTGGGCCTTGCCTTCCCTCCAGAGGCTCCCAGTATGGGGAACTTGGGGTAGGAGAGACAGACCCATTAATCCTAGAGTGTTTCTTACACTATGTGGGGCACAGTGGAGACTCTGAGAAGGTGGGGAGAAAGGGATCAACTAGGCCTCAAGGGTTTGGGTTAAGTACTTAGTAGAAGTGGTATCTCTCCAAATCCCGTCACTTGTAGACTCAGGAGCCACCCTGAGGGATGTGCAACATTTGGGAGGATGCGGCAGCAAGGTGGTATCCCTATAGTATAAAATGACTGAGGTGAGAAGATACTCTGTACTTCCCTGACCTCATTCTCCTCATCCCCTGAGCCAATCACTCCTCCCTTTCTTGGGGGAGTCTGAGAAAGCGGGACAGTTCTGTAACCAGAGAAGGCTCTCTGGAAATGGTGAGGCTTGATGTAGGTCTTGCAGGATGATAGCTAGAGCCTCTCCTGTAGTTCATGGATGCATGTCCACTGTGAGGGGAGAAGAAAGTGTATAACAGGAATGGGGGCAGGGAAGTGCCAATATGGGAAAGGCTGTCTGAAGTCTGGTAAGGGACGGACCCATACCCTGGAGGACCCTACCTTAAGCCAAGCAGTTCTCCAGCCTAGGCGTTACTGCAGGTTGTAGGCACAATCTCTACTGTCTGGCCTCTCCGCCCCCCCCCCCGCCTCGCCCCCATAGCCCACTGCCTCAGGTAGATGGCAGTCTTGAGGTGCTGAGATTGAGCCCCTTTCTGCACATCCCCCTACACACACACCAGCTCTCACACCTCTCTCCTGTCATCTCCTCCAACCCTCTTTTAATGATCAATTCCAGAGCAAAGGTCAGCCTTTACTCCTGGACTGGGACTTGGGATCACATCAGCTCCTGCCTCTCCTTATTTGTATAGCACAGTTTCCCAACTGAAAGACTGGACGGAGGACTAAGCCAGATCCTCCCATCAATCAAAGCTGCCAGAAGAGGGCAGACTTTCCCATTCATCACTAGGTTCCCATCAAATCATCATCTTGGGAATGGGGAAAAACAGAACCCACTAAATGAATCCACTGAACATTCAGATGTGGAAGAGCAAAAGCTCCTGGCTAGGGATCAGGACCCCGCCTTTAGCCTTCAGCCTCCACCCAGCACCTTGAGAGAACCTTTGAGGCAAGCATGATGGGAAGCTGGCTGGCTTAGCAGGGCTTCCATGCTCTTGCTTCCTTCTCTTATCACTGGCAGACTGAACACAAAACACTCAGGACCACAAAGAATGGTTTTTAGCATTTGGAGGGACAAGGATCCCTTTATAAATCTAATATAAGCTGGTTAGTCTTCTTGCGAGAAAAACACGCATACACCCACAAAAATGTGTAATCAGCTCACGCCTGTAATCCCAGCACTCTGGGAGGCAGAGGCAGGAGAACTGCTTGAGCCCAGGAGTTCAAGACCAGCCTGGGCAATATAGCAAGACCTTCTCTACAAAAAAAACCCGAAGTAGCTAGGTGTGATTGTGGGCGCCTGCATTCCCAGCTACTCAGGAGGCTGAGGCTGAACTGCCTGAGCCCAGGTCGAGGCTGTGGTGAGTCATAAAGGGTGCCACTGCACTCTAGCCTGGGCAACAGAGACTCTGACAAAAACAAAACAAACATGTAAACAATGTCTGTTGACAGTTCCTAATCTAGTACAGCATCCTCATCTTAAAAGACTTTGGGCCCATTAATCAATTTGAAACCATTATACTAAGTGAAAGAAGCCAGACACAAAGGATCACATTATACAATTCCATTTATATAAAATGTCCAGAATAGGCAAATTGGAAAGGAGGGGGCATGGAGGATACCTAAGGGTATGGAGTTTCCTTTTGGGATGATGAAAATGTTCTAAATTTTTTTTTCAGTGATGGTTGCACAACTCCATGAATATACTAGAAGACATTGAATTGTATACTTTAAGTGGATGAACTGTATGGAATGTAAGTTCTATCTCAATAAGCAGTCTAAAAAAAGTGAACTTAAGGGTTGCAAATGACCACACATCTGAGCTTTAGTCCCCATTCATTAGGGGCAGAAAGAACCTGTGGAGAAAAATTAGGGAGGGGTTCTTGAATGTGGTATATGGGTCAGATAGGAAAACATTCTAGAAAGAATGAGATTCTATGTATAATCTTGATCGTAAGGGCAATGAAGCATCATGAAAGGTTTTAAGCAGAAGTGATATGATCAGATCTGTATTTTAAAAACAATCTCCCCAAATCACTGAACTGTACATTTCAGACAGGTGAATTTAATGGTATGTAAATGATAACTCAATAAAGCCATGAAAAAAAAACCCTTCGGGAGCTTGAAAAGGATAGACTAGAGAGCATATAGCTGGAGAAGGGCTGTGGCGCAGTTTAGGTGAGGGGTGCCAGGGCCCATCTGTTTGGATCTGGGGGAACTGGCTTGGGGGTGGAGTCAGGAGAGGATCGGGATGTCTTGCCCAAGGTTAAGGAGAAGCTGGTCGAACCGTTTCAGAACCCAGAGGGAGCTCCCTGGCTGCAGACCTAGTGCTCCCACCAGCACTACAGCTGTTCCACTGACAGGTGATGGAAGTACTGTTCTCCCCTTCGAAGAGAAATGCACTTCAGAAACATGTTTCCAAAAAATGTTTCTAAGGGTTTTATTTCTAACAAGAGGAAAATAATAAAATAAAATTAAAATAGGCTTCGGTTGGAACCAAGTTTCTTGTTTTGCTTTTTTTTTTCTTTTGAACAAATTAATTACACACCAACAATCTTCTTTTATTACAACATGAACCCAGGAGGAGGAAAGGAGACGGGAGGACAAGGAGGGAGGATTGAGGTGGTTGTGAGGACAAGCACCAAAAGCTTTCTTCAGATCACAGGGAGCTCTGTTCAGCTCCCCAGCCAAATTCCTTTAAAATAAAACTGTGAGCACAGCTATGTGAAGTTTCCTCCTCCTGGGTGGAACAGTCAGGGGAAGGGAGATAGAAGGAGAAGGGGGATAAAGGAAGAGAGGAGAGGAGAGTGGGGGGAGGGGTTAGTGTAGCATGGCCTGGCCAGGGCCCGAACTGGGGAGAGAAAGGAGAGGAGATTCCCCCAGTTTGCATACTCACTGGCCTTGTCTCTGGAATGGTGCTGGCCCAGCCCCAGCCACCCCCCTGCCCACCTGCCCATCCATCTGTCTATCTGCCTCAGGTGTCTGGGAATGCTGGTTAGAGGCTACCAGGGAGGGGGACTCCAGGGGCCGGCCCCCAGGAGCTGAGGTCTGAACAATACCTTGGAGTCAGAATATAAAAGTCAAGGGACTTGGGGATGGGCGGGTGGGGGGGTGGCCATCCCCCCTACTCGCCTACC